TCGGGGAATCCGGTAGAGATGGGAATGGCACCATATGTGAAGGGACGCCATCTTAGGGTCCCATGGGGGCCACGAGCGCTACAAAAAAACAAGTCTTTTCCCCCCAATTTAACGAGCTCGCTTAGCATAGGGAATTATAATAAATGAATGTTTGCTGTACATGAAATCAGCAGAGACATATTCAGATAAAATTAAACATTTGTGTATATCTTGATGATAGCTTGAGTGGAGTTTACTGTTAACTGGATTGGTTTTTCTGCAGCTTGCTACAGAAACATAATAATATCAGTTACAATAGTAAAATCTCCACAGTCTTCCCAATATCTGGCTGTTTGCTTCTCACCCAGGTCAAGCCACAGTCTGCTTTCCTCAGCTACCTGTGAGAGAAATGGAATCACACGCTGTCTCACAAAGTACAGCTTTGGCAGTACCTGACTTTTAGAGTGCAACTGCCCAGCGTAGACAGCGTCTGAGAATTTCTACCTTTTGTGGTGGTAGAATTTCAGACACACACAAAACAACTTAGGTGGGGGAAGACGATACAAGTCAAGTACGTGCTGGTGTTCCTCTCTCTCCTAATTGCCTGTAGTCTCTGGGGTGTGTTGTCTGGCGGGAAGCAGAGATGAGATGCAGTCAGGGCTGCTGTTTGTTCTTGCCAGCGTGTGGGATGTGAATGATAGCTAGAGCCCTGAATGATATCATTAGTGAACTACTGGTTTGTCTAACACACTGTAGTCTATCAGTGCAGAGAGCATGAGAGATGGCGAGATACTGAAGCAAGGCGGTGGGAGGACAGTTCTTCTCCCCTCTGTGTTTGAATGGGTACTTTTTTTGTGTCTTATCACAGAGCACCAGTGTTGACGAGGAGTAGCTCTGTACATGAGGTTGTTTGGCAGCCCATACATTTAGTGTGTTCATGTGGGGAAAAAACGGCTCTGCAGACCAACCCCTGCACATGAATCTATTTAGATGAGAACAAAGGTCTCAGACATTTTGAATGATATGGTCTAATGGGTTGGGTGATCATTCAGTATTAATGTAATGATGATATGATTGTGTTGTGTACTTAATGACTCCAAGCTAAATGTTATGAAAACATTTTTTCAGTCAATTTGTTCAAGTGTAGGTGTTACCTCCTATGAAGAGCTTGTTCAACGTATTTATATGCATGTGTTTTTTTTTTTTTTATACATTTGACATGTGATGGATAAAGATGTCATGACGTGTGAGGCTGTACTTAATGCTGCATTCACATGGAATCAGGCAGACTGCTGGTGGAAAACACCTTCTGGACTGCACAGGGAAAACAAAACATGCACATAATTGCTATGGTGGTGGAATAAGATACATTGAATACAATTATTTTGTGTCAACTATTTTATGTAATTATCCTAGTAATGAATGTAGCTATAAAATGCTTAATATACTATTGCAAACTTAAACAACTTTCTCCGGTGTGAGGGAGCTACGTAACATTGTCCAGAGGCTGCAGAATGTTTAGATAGTTTAACTTTAGACGGCAATTCTAACTACTGTTATTGTTGAGTTATGTCAAAGTCTGTTCCTGTTACAAATAGTGTTTCACACATCTTAAAATGAAAGCGCCCCCCTCTGTGGTTAGCTTTGGGGATAAGGGTTGGTTCAAATTTAGGTAACGGAAAAACACGTCTCAACAGGGAAACGGGATTCAACACAACACTAGTGCTGCTCTTTTCCACTCACATGATATCCAGATCGCCGTAGACCATCTGCCTGGTTCCATGTGAACAGCACGGCAATATTCTGGGCTGAATGCTAATGTCTGCATGCTAACATGCTCACATCAACAGTGTTTTATAATGATGTCTGGTAGGTGTAATGTGGACAAAGTCCACCATCTTCCATTTAATTAGCACAGCATATAAACATACAAGTACAGCTGACGATGATGGGGATGTCATTAGTTTTACAAGTAATTAGTCAAAGAGTACTGGACAAATTCATATTTTGACCGCATTACTGCAAATTCTATCCCAATAGTTCCTGGGGCATGACAAACTAATAATGCTTTATCATAATATGAAACGGTGCTTTTTTTTAGGGACAAGAAGCTACAAAGAGGAACTCATTGCACACCAGAGGTCCTGTGTTCCTAAAAAACATTGTTTGAAAAGTTCCTGTCGAGGGAACAGGCTAGTCGCTCTTAATGTGGATTGTTATAGGGAATTGATATTTATTTCTGCTTTCATATCAATGATGATTTTGTCAAATAGATGTCATCTTTTTCAAAATATTGACTCCACTATCATGTTTAAAAAGTAATTTCCACAATACATACAAGGCCTTAATATGTATATATCTTCATTGTCAGGTGGCTGTAATGACTTACCCACACAAAGCTAACAGCCATTGTGACTGCCTGTATTTGCAATGACTCATTGCTTCATTGTAAATAGATCTAGTGTCCCTCATGTTGCCTTCAATGAATAATTCCCTGTCAAACGCAGGTGATCTGTGCTCTCTGACTCACTGTTGAACATGGTTGCAAGGGGCTCTGTCAGGTGACAGTAAAGATTATCTGCTCATGCTCAACAGGCACTGTCGGTCATTATTATTACCCACATGATGCAGACATTAAGAGGCACCGAGGGTTAGGTTGGGCTCCTCGAATAGATTTATCTGAGCCAGGGAGTCTCACTGGCAGCCAACAATGCACAAAAGCTGCTGTACGAACAAAGTAAGACAGTGGAAAGCATGACGTGTAGTAGCAACACAATGCAGTCAAAAATAACGCAGAATGTGAGAAGTGAGATGGAAAAGAAGAGAAGGTTGTGGCGGTTAGATGTGATAATTGTGCAAGGACGCCAGGGACATGAAGATGAGTGTTGCTGACTCCCATCTGTGTCCCCTCAGTGCCAGCCCTTCACAGACGGCCACTGTCACAGAGCAGAAACCAGCAGCAAGTCTTCAGGGACCACACCAGGGTTTCTGTATGTTTTATCACATTTAGTACACATATAGTGTACTGTCTTTGTTTTGGACTTTAAAAGTTGCTAATCCTGCCTTCCATGCGGCCACTGGTTCCCAATTTTAAGAGCAAAACTAAAATCCTGCAGAGGCAAAACCTGCTTGAATTGGGCAATCTGTTGCCGTGAAGATTGGCTTTGCTTCTCGTTATGTCAACATGACATTACTCAGAAGTTGATTTTCATCCTGTACAGAAATGACTGGAAACCAGCAGGGTTTTCTGAGGCCTATTATCTATTCTATTATCTTTTTCTGCAGATAATCGGTGCACTTTCGTACATCATCATTACTATTGGCAGTTCTCGTGTCGAAATGAATTATTGTAATATATTTTACCCGTCCATGCCTGCCTGGAAGCCAGGAAACATGTCCTAGCTAAGATACTGTGGCAATATGTAGTAAAAAGGGCAGACATTGTAAGTGTACCTATAGGTTTTTTTATTAGATTGACAGAAAAAGCCAGTCCTTTAACAACAGCTCTCACTCTCAATCGGAAGCTCTACAGACAGACAACAAACTGTCTGCAATCATATGTGAGTAGGATAATCTGTGTCTGATCGTTGTCTGACTGACAATTTCCTCAGTGATTTTGATTCTGTCTCTTTCACATCTGCATGCAGACTTGTGGGCACATTAAGGTGCAATATGTAAGATCTGGACACATGCTCCAAACCAATAGGGGGCAGCGTTTCATCTCTACTCCTGGGTCCATACAATATAAATGTACAGTCATCAGTTATCAAAAAGAAAAGAAGCTAACTACTAACTAGCAGCAGGACGAGAATATGCAGGATTCAAGTAAAGCCAGTAAAAATAACATTGCTATTTTATAATATTTACGTGTGGTGTCGGCCTGTAGTTTAAGTTAGAGCAAAATCTTAAATACAAAAAGTGTGTAATATCTTTACTTCTACTACTATTGCTCTTAATAATAATGGTAATGATAATAACTTTTGATTGGAGCACACTGTAAAAATACCATGCTTTGCAGCACAGATCCACGTTGAGCTGCTACAGTGGTGACCTGGCTGTTGATAAGTGGAGTGGGATGTTTACCAGAGCCGGCAGCTCTGTGTTCAGTGACACACAAACTATGTGAAGGTGCAACGTCCCGACAAGTTAAAATCAAACGACTACTATTTTTACTTCCACACACGTGCAGCATCATCAGCACTAGAGACACACAGGTAACATCCCCCTCTCTTTGGGCCGCCCTGCTATTTTGACAATGACAGGTGGGAAAGAACAAATTGGTGGGCTCCGCATGCTTCATTCATCTATTGCAGGATTCAGTTTGTTTTTGTGTGGTCATTTTTAGACTTTTTTTGCAAACACATTTAAGATGTGATAAAACGATCACCTCACTGTAATGCAGTCACGACGTCCAGGAAAAGAAAAAGTCAATCTATGTCATAATTATACAATAGCCCAAATCCCAGCTGGAGCTAGCCTCAGGTGCTAATATCAATATTATATTCATATTTTATTCAATTATTTTTTGTTTTTTTGCAATTAATGGATAGTGATGGTTGTAAAGAGAGAGAGAGAGAGAGAGAGGGGACGACATGCAACAAAGAGCCGCGGGTCAGATCACTCTTTTTTTTTTAACCCACTATCTACTAAATGGACAACTTTTATGAAAATAAAGTTCGTTAAAAAGTTCCACATAGTGCAGCAGTCTTTGGCTTATTTTCAGTGTTTTGCTTTTAATGTGGCCTACTTGACTAATTGCATTTCCTTGTGCATAAGATGATACATTTTGATACATGTTATAGATCAATATATACCTGTCTCGAATCTGACAGAAATGTGTTACAATACAGATACAATAGAACTACATTAAAATGTCTAATTGTTCCTCCAACAGAAGCCGCTACCTTGCCTTGTGTTCGACGGTTGTACAATAAATAAGAACGGGTTTCTACCGGTGACTCGCAGAAGGGTTTAAAGTGGATTTATAGATGTCTCATCTCTCATCTCCCTGTCCCCCTCAGAGGCCAGCAGAGAAATGTCGCTACGTGGTGGGCAGTGTCCTGTGCGAGGGGGAAGAGAAGCCGGATGAAGAACTGCAGAAGATGTATGAGAAGTTTGGCTTCAAGGTGTTTTCTCTTCCTGAAGTGAGCCACGCTGTGACCACCAGCTTCGACTGCACCACCCCGCTGTCTCACGTGGTGGGACCCTACAGGGTCTACCCCAGGCTCGCTTCCTACATCGAGGTACAGGCGATATGAGAATATGTTAGCACAATGTGGATATACCTGTAATCGATGGAGTCACCCATAGCCTCCTTTAGCTGTATGCAGTATATTCCAGAATTAGTCAAATCTGCAATTAGTTAGTTAGTTATCAAACAGGACCAGTGAGAAACACAGGTGTAAAGGTTTAAGCAGTGTGCATGTCTCCAGTGTTTACAGGATGTCTCACATGTTTAGCAGACTTTCTCTCTATAATCGTTTCCTAACCTTCTTCCACACTGACAAGTCTATGCCATCAAATGAAGGAGTAAGACAGGAGGTTTCTTCTTTTCTCTTCCTGTTATTTCAGTGGGTGACATTCATCTTGTGAACATATATGTCCTCTTTTCTACTTCCTGCTTGTCAAAAGACCCACATTCACGTGTTGTTTAATTCATCACATGAGCAGATGAGGTCTTCAAAGTAGATTAAGAATAGATGAAGTGGTAGGAAATGAAGGTATGCCTGAGTCCCACGGCCCATATGCTGGGCTACATGTCCTCAGGACAGGCCTCAAAAAGCTATTGACATTTACTGATGACATTTACACACATGGATTCATTTTGGGGCATCCCACTGCATGAATAATGCTCCGCGTGTGCTTGGGTGCGAGTGCACGCACGTGTGTGCACGCACATCTGTCCATCTGTTTGTTCAAGCGTCTGTCTCTTCACAAAAGGTAAAACTGACCCACTTCCTAGTCAGTAAATGTACCATTATGTCTAGAAATTATGATGGATTTTTCTCGCATTTGCCTTTTGTGAGTGGAGCTTTTCTTTCTCATATTCATGAAAGTCGGAGGCAGGGTGTTCATACAAAACTGCCCGATGGCAAAAGGGTTTCACGAGTGCTGAAATTCATTGGGATTACTTTCTATTTTGTCAGCAAACTGCAGTGTTTGAATTGCCTGCACAAACCCAATGAATCATCAGCATGTGGTGCCATTATGCCATAGGAATAGGCCAAGTGTTCACTGCGTTGCATTGAGTCCTCCGTCAGTTGTTGTGTTGAGCACGGGAAAGTAAAGGAGGCAAGGTGGCAAGGATGCCGAGGATGGGAAGGATGGCATTGTGCATTGACTGTTTCCAGCTCTGTCAGCATATCGCAGCAATGCGACAGCCCTTGTGTAGCGGCAGAGCATTTCTGAAAGGTCTCAGTTGGTTGGTTATTGGCTTTCATCATGGCCTTCTACCAGAGACTTTATTAGGAAAATGGTAGTGATAAGAATATTTGGATTTTCTAATAAAAACGATAGCTACACAATCTGTTATGTGGGACGAGCTCGAAAATGAACCTCAACAGTCTATTGCTTCCCAAATTTTACTAGTTAATTCTCCATGTCGTAATCTGCCATGTTTCCCCTTTTATACATCCAGTCACCAGCTGCCTCTTTTCACCTGCCCCGAGGGCGTCTCACCCAGATACCCCCCCCCCCTGCACCCAGGCAGCTCGACCAACCACTAGAAATTGCTCGTGAACTCACAAGAAAATGATCTCTCTCCGGCTTCCCACCCAGCAAACACTAACAATCTCTGTGTTGTTGTCACAAAAGTCACAAAAGCAAAGACCAAATGTGTGATATTTAGCAGGTTTTAATAGTAGTGACATCAGTTCTGATCTACAAATAAAATTTTTAAAAAAACACTGAATTATCCGTTTATCACAATTTACCAGCCATCTCATCTTTTTTGCAGTTTGGTCTCTGCGGCACTATGCACAGTGCAACACCCGACGTCAGAGGGCAGGACAAACTCTAACGTGTGCACTGACACAGACTAAATGATCTGAAGGCATAGAAACAGCATTCCTCATCGTGCTAAAATGTAGTAGTATTCCCTTTTAGGCGCCCGTGTTACATAATCATGGCCAGTGTAAGTGTGCATCTTTTGTGGGCTCGCAGCTCTGTCAGTCTGTAGTCTGTCCAGCTAGGAAAGCATCAGATTTTACACTTGTCCGCCATGACGCAGAAGTGCTTGTCGCAGTCCATCAATTAACCTGAGTTCTCTGACAGGTTGTTAAGGAGCTGCTCCCGGACAGTCGATGGGCTAATAACACACTAACAACACGTTTGTTAGTGTTTTTAGTCTTGATGGGCATTGAAAGCAGAGAGACACTTGTGATGTAGCTCTGTACTTTTAATGAATCTACTGACAATCTCATCTATTTACAAACAGATGAATGGAAGATTGTGCTTTACTTGATTCTCTTTTGTGGCCACTTGGTGACAATGCAACAACCTAATATTATTATCATTTAAAGTAGATATGTGTTGGCAAACAGTTGCTAAAGCATCTAGCAGACACAGAAAAACATTAACACTTCATTTGAAGTAAAGTTTTTGGTACCTGGCAAATGTTCAATCTTTCTTTTAGCTCTGCTTTGGTCTTTACCAACTCCTGAGGGAAGTATCTGGCGGCTCCATACTCTAACTAGTTGCTAACTGCAGGCTGTTTGGCACTGAGCAGGTAGCATACAGTCCGTTCATACAAGCGTTTTAGCTGCTGCATCTTCAAACAAAGGTGATTAGAAGCTTGAGACTGAACAATAGAGTTGTGGGCAGACGCTAAAATACAACGTATCACCAGGAATTATTACCTGACTGCATCACCAGACTATGAAGTCGGAGGTTCATTAGTTGGGGGTCTGTCACCACAACACCATTCACTAGACATTTGACCAATGGCTCATACAAAAGTATTGATTGTGGCACCTTCTAAGCTTTGAAAATTCAAGGTCAGAAACTGGCAAGACTGGGTAGGGCAGACTGGTGAGGTGGGCTCTCTGTCTGGCCAAGTTCCCAGCTTTTCAGAGTGTTTTCTCAGAGACTCTGGTACACCTGCTGGCCTCCCAGCGCTTATCAGAGAGAAGGTTAAGTGCATAACTGCCCTTTTTTTCACTTGAACACTTTCTCTCCAGTCCAACAGCGTCATCTCCACACCAGCTTACCTTTCCTTATCTGTGCGCAACACATAAGCTAATACACACACACACACACACACACACACACACACACACACACACACACACACACACACACACACACAAGGAGGTATAATTGTGGCTTAAAAGATCAGAAGTAGGTGATTTAATCCTGATGTTTTTAACGTTCTGTTAATAATCAGAGGGTATCAATGAGTTTGTGGGATCAACAGAATGTCTGAGATCTTTGTAATTTGAGCTCAGCAGTTGTGTATTCATGTGAATCTAGTGAGTGAGTGTGAATGAGCACAGGATGCTTAGGATTGTATCATCTACTAGTTAAAAAGCCTGACGGTGAAAGAAGGAAAAAGAAAGGATGAAGAAGTAGCTTTCACACTATATTAAAGGATTCTGTCAAGCCCTGTTTGATCTTTGTGAAAGCACCTATTCAAGACCTAAAGAATGAGATTGAACAATCATTGTGCTTCTTATTTTGGTGGCTGCGTCAGAAAATATCTCCCAGTAGCCCCTGTGAACAGAAACGAGATGATAAACCGATAGCTTCCACCCATTTAGTAATCCGTTTATCTGAATGAAGCTTAAAGCATCACGTACACATTCTTTTCTTTCTCCTCCATTTCACTCTATACGATGTGGTGCCACAGTTTTGTTTGCCTTGCAGGTCCCACAGCAATTAAAATGTAGATCTGTAAACCCCCTAGAAATGGGTTTGTTTCCTCTGGGGTATTCCACAATTGTACAATTTGGATGTACCTATTGTTGCTCTGTATGATTCTTCATATTGTGTTTATAGAAGACATATGTTATTTCAGGAGGAGGAGGAATCGTAAGCAGTGCTGACAAAACAGTCTCAGTCTCAGCTCATAAATGCAGAATTGGAAAAACATAACTATCAGAATTTAAGCACATTCGTATTTTTCTCAATTTAGTCTCTTGAAAGAAAGTCCAAGCAATTTATCAGTGTCACAATGATAAACAATAAGCTCAGTCTAAAGTAGTAATGTGGCCATATGGGCCATCCACGCACAATGTTAGGTGATTGGGTTTGGTTATTTTTGCCAATATGCAGCAGGTGAAGCTTATAACGTGACTACATGTCACAGTGAGGAAAGGTTTGACTTTCCTCAAGCCTTCTTGACATTTACTTATCAAAATGTATTTACTCAGTCTTTATTTTCCCAGAATAATCCCTTTTTAGATACCACAGTTAACAGAGATAAAAAACAAACATCAATAAGTTAAAAACATAAAAAAAATCACATTAAAGAGACAACAGACTTTCAACAATCCAGCAATTGCATCAAGACAGTTTGTGTAATATTATATTATACAAAAAGATATACACATTTTCTGTTCTGCGGTTGTATAATGAGGACATACCAACTTCCTCATACAAACTTCTATGATGAGTGCGTAACCGGAATCCGACACTTATCGTAACACAGTATGATATACTGAATCTAACATTTTCAATAAAGATAAACTCCCATGTGTACATAAAATATCAACATCATCAATTGCTGATAGAGGCCTCGCTTGAATCCATTTTTTCCTTTGCAGAAAAAGCATTAAACTCTCTAGTCTGTGATGTTTAAAAGACAGATTGCCCTTTTAGGAAAACCCCAGGTATTTAAAAGTTAGGACTCGTTAATTTACCTTATTATTTACAGTAATAATCTGATACACATAAACATCCGTTGGCACCACCTCATGACTTATTCACACACTGATGATCGACTATCATCAGATAGACCTATTCCATCAAGTCTGCTCCTGTATCTCTTGGACTCTCAGGGAGGAGCTGTGTCAAGTGATCCCACACCTGGGGGTGAGTTGAATTGGGCAACATAGGACACAGCTGGACAGACCCGGTAAAACCAAAGGGTGAACTGCGTCCGGGGTCTTCAACTCCAATCTCCAGAGGGATTTTTTTAACATTGTTAAGCAGGCGGTGGGTTTTCTTGAACTTGTTTTAATAGCATCATCAATCCTCATGGGACTGAAGCATTGGAGATTCCTGGGCTGTGATATATAGTTTAACA